ACTTGGGAGGAGTCGGGGTAGGATTTACAGGAATGGCCTCCTGGGCATGTGGTGGCACTGCCTTCTGTCAGGAGCCCAGGTCAGGCGTGTGCCCTGACCTCTGGGCAACCCTCTGCCAGGGGCAATTCCTCCTCCCCTGCCTTTGGGGAGCTGAAGAACTACTACCTCTTCTACCTGAAGAGCAAGTCTCCCAGGGACGAGCTGCTGAAGATGTGGGGGGAGGAGCTGGCCAGTGAAGAAAGCGTCTTCGAAGTGTTTGTTCACTACCTCTCGGGAGAGCCAAACCGGAATGGCCACAAAGTGAGTGATGCTGGGGTGGGGTCCCTGGTTCATCCCCCACCCCTGGCCCAACCCCAGCTGCAGGCCAGGCTGCGGGGCTGTGACTCCCCCACCCTGTGTCCTCCTCTCCATGCTGTGGATGGCAATTCAGCAAAGGGAGCAGGGTGAGTTGGGGGTCCCCCACCTGGAAGGGCTTAGGTGGGCAAAGACAGTCTGGGTCTTTGTCGGGGGCCATGAGAAGGACTCAAGGTGCCAAACCTGATCATCACCTCGGCCCGCTCACCTTCTCTCCCAGGTGACTTGCCTGCCCTGGAACGATGAGCCGCTGGCGGCCGAGACCAGCCTGCTGAAGGAGGAGCTGCTGCGGGTGAACCGGCAGGGCGTCCTCACCATCAACTCGCAGCCCAACATCAACGGGAAGCCGTCCTCCGACCCCATCGTGGGCTGGGGCCCCAGCGGGGGCTATGTCTTCCAGAAGGTGTGGTAGGGAGACAGAGGGGTGCCCCCACTTGGCCAGCGCCCAGGGGTTTCCCAGAGCTTAGGGCAAAGCAGCCTGTCTCTCCTGGGCTCTTAATTTTGAATGAGCATGGATCAGACGGGAGCTGATGCTTTAAGTCAGATAGACCTGGCTGGGCATGGAGCCTGGCCAGCACTTTGGAAGCCAAGGTGGGTGGATCGCTTGAGCCTAGGAGTTCGAGACCAGCCTGGGCAACATGGTGAAACAAAAAATACCCTCAACAAAATATATCTCTACAAAAAATACCAGGCATGGCGGTACACGCCTGTAGTCCCAGGTACTTGGGCTGAAGTGAGAGGATCGCTTGAGTCTGGGAGGTGGAGGCTGCAATAAGCAAGATTTCCACCACTACACTCCAGCCTGGCCCACAGAGTGAGACCTTGCCTCAAAAAAAAAAAAAAAAAGTCAGACCTGTGGAGAACATGAGCTACATCTGTAAAATGGGATGTAGCTCATGTTCTGGGCATGAAACCTACCAAAGCATGTAAAGTGCCTGGCACATGGGAAGAGCAGGAAGCACTCCCCGAAAGGCAGCTGCTGCTACTGTCCTGAGCTGACACCATTCTCCCAGGGCTGCTGGAGTTAAAAAATTATGTTCTGAACCAAGGCCCATGGGCTCTGGAGTCAGAAAGCCCTGAGTTGAAGGACCAGCTCTGCTGTTTCCTGTCAGAGTAGCCAATGTGCTCAGCTTCCCCCACTTTCCTCGTCTGGGATCGCTGTGCCCAGCCTCCGGTATTAGGAGCATTCTGGCAAATGAGTTTGAGTAAACCCAACTCAGTCCCTGATAGACACTGGTCCTAGAGAGGACCTCCACGTCCTTGTCACCTTGCAGTGATTGGGGAGGATGGAATGTGTCAGGCTTCTCTCCCATCACTCAACTTGTCACACCAGTTGCTGCTATTCAGAAATGGCTTCTCCGTGGAGCCTTCCCTGCCTGATTGGGAGAGGGGTGGCCGATAGCCCTGAGACCTGACCAGACTGAGAAACTCACCTCCCCACTCCCCTCACGCTTTGCCTATATACCTGTTAATAATGACGCCACAGTTCATTATTCTGCCCACGTGGCCACCACTAGTCCCAATACCTTAGGTGTCTGCGAAAGGGCGTCTGGTGGGGGGTGGGGTTGGTGACAGGCACCTGTTGCCCCCACAGGCCTACTTAGAGTTCTTCACTTCCCGTGAGACAGCGGAAGCGCTTCTGCAGGTGCTGAAGAAGTACGAGCTCCGGGTTAATTATCACCTTGTCAATGTGAAGGTAGGTCAGGTCCCGGGGTTCCCACAGAGCACCAGGCCCTTCATTCAGCAAACACCCAGCACCTAGCCTGGGCTAGGCGTCATGCAAGACTGACACAGGCAGAACTGGGCCCTGCTCTTGAGCTCCCAGCCTAGTGATGGAGGCAGATCATTGTGTGAGCACCAGCCAGTGTAAGTGGGACAGTCAAGTTCAGGAGGGGATACTGTTGGATCCAGAGGAGGGACATCTCACCTGGGAGGCCAGGCCAAGCTTCTCGGAGGGGTCATGTGTGGGAATCGCTAAGGACAAAGAGGAGTTGGGCAACAGGAAAGAAGGGTATTCCTGGGACAGGGCAGAGGACAGGCAGGGGCAGTGAGCTCTGGGGTTTCTGGGAAACTGGGAACACGGCCAGGAAGAGGCTGGAGTGTTATGCAGGGGCCGGGCCTGCAGAGGTCATGGTGTCCTGCTTGGAATTTTGAGTTTTCCCTAAATGCAAGGGAGCTTTCTCTACCAGTGGGGTGGCTTGGTTCCTGCTTTATTTTAGGCAAATCACAGTGGACAGTCAGACAGGTGATAGGGACTGGGGAAGGCTAGAGCCAGGAAGGCTGGAGAAGAGGCCACTGTAGTGACCCAAGCCAAACAGTCCTAGCAGCAGGCTAGACAAAAGGGAATGGATCAGACAGTGAGCAGGGGGTGCTCAGGGAGGAGAGGGGATGCAGCCAGGATAGCCCCTAGGTCCGGGCTTGCATGGGGAGAGATGCCATTCACAGATGCAGGCAGAGGAGGCTGGGAGTGGAGGCACAGGGAGAGTGGAGGCCAAGAGTGGAGGTGCAGGGAGAGTGGAGGCTGGGAGTAGAGGTGCAGGGAGAGTGGAGACTGGGAGTAGAGGTACAAGAGAGTGGAGGCTGGGAGTGGAGGCACAGGGAGAATAGAGGCCGGCAGTGGAGGCACAGACCGCCCCAGTGACTCAAGTCTGTCCAGGCAGTGGGACTCCAGTTGTCCTTGGCCCAGGTCTTACCCCCACCCCACATGCCCTCAGGGTGAAAACATCACCAACGCCCCTGGGCTACAGCCGAACGCCGTCACTTGGGGCATCTTCCCTGGGCGAGAGATCATCCAGCCCACCGTAGTGGATCCCGTCAGTTTCATGTTCTGGAAGGTAAAGGAGCCGGGAACAAGCTTGCCCTCCCCACCTGGGAAACCTGGGGCAGGGATTGGGGCCAAGTCCCAAGGTGTGCTGAAGGCCCCACCTGGGGCTAGTGGACCCAGCCTGCAGGCACACGCAGCTCTGACTCACTCACCCGTGTTACTGCTGACCCATGGTGTTTATTTCTGGGCAGGGGTGGGAAGTGATACTGGCAGTGGGCCTTGCTCTATTCCGGGAAATGTCCTGTTGAGTCCTTGGAGAGCCCAGCGTGGAGGCTATGCAGAGGCAGCCCTGTTAATCTCACCTGTGTGTGTGTGTGTGTGTGTGTGTGCGCGCGCGTGCGTGTGCCTGCATGTGCACGTGGGGTGTGTGTGTGTGTGTGTGTGTGTGCACGCCTGCGTGTGCACGTGGGGTGTGTGTGTGTGGTACGTGTGTGCAGGACGAGGCCTTCGCCCTATGGATCGAGCAGTGGGGCAAGCTGTATGAGGAGGAGTCCCCGTCCCGCGCAATCATCCAGTACATCCACGACAACTACTTCCTGGTCAACCTGGTGGACAATGACTTCCCACTGGACAACTGCCTGTGGCAGGTGGTGGAAGACACACTGGAGCTTCTCAACAGGCCCACCCAGCATGAGAGGGAGGCAGAGGCTCCGTGACCCTGCGTCCTGATGCCCTGCACTGGAGCCACTCCTGTCCCACCTGCCTCCTTTACAGGGCTGCTTCTCTTGGGAACCCACTCCCCTGCATGTCTCCCCCACACCTGACCTCCACTCCCCCGCCTGACGACGGCAGCTGGACTGGAGTGAGGCTCCCAGGCTCTGGCTGGACCGGAGTCGGCCTCACATAGGAACCTGGTACTCCCTGCTCTAGTTGGGAGTCTGTGTACTTTTGGTGGGAGCACTTCCTTCCTGCAGAGGACCACAGTGGGTGGCACCCCCTGAGAAAGGGAGGAGAGTGGTTGTTGCCAGCCAAGCCCTCGAACCAAGGCAGCCTCCAGAGCCAGCCTGGGACTCCCAGTGAACTTACACTTGGGGCCATGCAGTGCAGGCAAAACATACACGGGCACCAGGTGTTGGTAGCATCTTAGAGAAGATGTGGCAAAGTGCTGCACGCTTCGACCTCCTAGAGGTGGGCAGCTGGGCCCCACCTACTTGTGACTGGAGGGGCACACCACTGCCCTGCCTGCCTGCTTAGCCGTCTCTGGCACCAGCCCCGTGGATGGGCGTTGGGCTGACACCTAACGATGCAGGCATTTCTTGCTGCATTCTAAGAGCTCAGCTGGGTTCCTCCCTTCCTACCATGCTGCTTTTTGGCACAGTTGTCTATTCTGAGCCTTAAGAGAAAAAGTGCCCCATAAGGGTTGAAGGCAGTCTGAACCCTTGTGCTCAGTGGGGGTTGTGGCCTTCCCTTTCTCCCTGGCTGTGGAGGCCTCATGCTGCCCCATTTGCTATCAAAGGCCAGGATGTGCCTCTCCAGCACAGGGGCCCCGGATCTGCCTGGGGCTATGTAGCAGCCCGGCTTCCTGGCTGATTTTTCAGGTAGGCCCTCTTCCTGCCAGCTGCCCTTGCTGTCCCCTCATCCTGTCCCAGAGGCTATCTGCCTGGCACAGCTCCCCAGGAGTCCTGCAAGCCCCATGGCCCGCGGGCAGTGACTGCCAGGTGCAGATGGGCTGTTCTCTGTCTTGGATCCCAGCATGCCGGGTGGAGTGGGATGGCCCAGAGCAGCCTGATGGCAGAGGGTGTGGGCACAGTTGGGGGACTCCCTTCCTAGCCTCACTGCCTGGTGCAGAGGGGCAGCCGCTAGGAGAGAGAGAAAGCTGGGTTCAGTTCTGTTTTTTATTCTATGGGAACAAGTCACAGGGGCAGCTGGGCCCTGTGCTCTGCCCAAGCTCCCAACCCCACGGGAGGTGGCTTCCTGTCTGCTCTCGGGGCGTTAAGGCCTGGCTTGCTCCAGGGTCTTGGGCTACTGGCACGTCCTCTCCTTGGGCTCCTGGCTGCCAGGTGCTGGTGCCACTTCTCAAAGGCCTGGAACTGGGGAGGGGAGGAAGTGCTATTGTTGTGGGCGCCCTCCAGGATCTGCGCTGTTCCTGTTAGAGCTGTGAAGCTGTGCTCAGAGTGGAGCAAATGAGGGAGGGGCGCTCGGGACCCAGGCCCTCTGTGGGCCAGTGTGGGTGGCAGCTATGCCTCATGCCAAGCCTTCTTCCCAAACTGAGGGACCGGGTGGGGTGGGCCTGAGCTGGGGCCACAAGTCAAATCAGGGGCTCCAGCATCCAGCCTGTGTGTTCTGTAATGGAACTGACCCCTCCCCTGAAAGTGAAGGGGTCCTGGGGCTGACAAACAGGGAAACCCAGCTCTGCGGCGCGCGTCGGTGGCACAGGCTTTTGGGAGGGCTGGCTGGGTGGAATGGAGAGAACAAGTCAGTACCTGGGAAAGGACCCAGCCATCTTCTTGCCGCTGTAACCGCCAAGCCACTCCCAGTCGCAGGATCCGCTGCCGCCACGTCCACCGGGCCCATCTCAGGTGCCACTCCCTGAGCTGTGGGGACAGTTGGTGGAGAAGGCCTTTTGTGCCCATGCTCCCCTACAGTCCCTAGCCCTTCTGCCTTTCTCCTCCTGCACCTCTGTGGTCCCACAGTAAAAGGCTGTGACAAGGGGGTGTCATCTGAGGAGTATTCACAACACAGATTCAGGGGCCTGTCCCCCAGGGTTTCGGAGTCAGTAGGTCAAAGGGCCATACTTTAAGAGACTGTCTCTAGGGTTTTGGGCTCAGTATGAGGTGAAACAGGAGATGGTAAGTGTGGAGAGGGGCTGGGCCTGCTCACCAGGGTCCATGCCAGCTGCTCTGCCCCTTGGGCATCTACCCAGTGCTGCCATCCCTCTGCCAGGCACCTGACCTGCTGGGAACCCTGCAGCCCATGAAGTAGTGCCTCAAGGTACCAGTGCCGCAGATACTTCCTCCTTAAGGCCAAGAGCATCGTGACCCTTCAGGGCCAGAAGAAGGGCAGAGCCCTGAGCCTGGGCTGCTCCTCTAGGATCCTGCAGAAATGAGCACTGGCCAGAGAGGGCCCAGCTCCAGCCCTGGCTCAGGCAAGCCCCTTGGCCCCTGCCCCCAACCCTCGGACCTCCCAAACTGCACACACACAGCTCCTGTCACCCCAGCCTCCTTTTATGGGCCTCGTCTTGGGCTTTGAGGGAGTGGGGCTCAGGGCTGGGGTGCCATCTTGGTCCCTGGTCCACAGGGGCAGGTCTGGGACTGAGCTACATTGTCCAGGCCACTGCAGCCAGAGCTGGAAGGCAGGGCAGAGGAGACGCTGTCTGCACCCTGGAAAGGGGAGTTGAGTCAGAAGAGGTTACTGTGCGTCCAGGAAGGCAGCTGCCCTCAGTGCCAGCCTAGGAGTTGAGTACAGTGCAGAGGGTGGAGGAGGTGCTGAGCTCAGCCTCGTGCCCTGCCCTGTATTTCCCCAGGCCTCCAGCTGCTCTGGGCTGCTGCCCAAAGGGAAGTCATGGGGGCAGGGCAGGAATGTGAAGTGTTTTCTCAGAACAGCTGAAACATTCCCAAGAGGGAATGGATGAGGAAAACAGTCAATACACGTCAGACTGTGTCCCCAGGAGCTGATTTCCAGGCCCTTGAGAGCTGGTGACCAACCACTTTGTCTCTGTGCTTCAGACACCATCCATCGCACCGCTTCACCCCTGTGCTTCAGACACCGTCCATCCCACCGCTACACGACCCCTGCACTTCAGACACTGTCCATCCCACCGCTACACGACCCCTGCGCTTCAGACACTGTCCATCCCACCGCTTCACCCCTGTGCTTCAGACACTGCCCATCCCACCGCTTCACCCCTGTGCTTCAGACACCGCCCATCCCACCGCGTCACCCCTGCACTTGACACTGCCCATTCCACCATTTCACGTCTGTGCTTGAGACACCGTCCATCCCACCGCTTCACCCCTGCGCTTCAGACACTTTGTCCCTGGGGACAAGGTCTCCTTAGGGCCCAGGCCGTTCTCCTTGGCTTCCTCTGTCCACCCAGGCTGCACTGCAGTGATGGCCCAGGTGGCACTGGCTCTGTGGCCTGTGTCCAGCAGCTGCAGGTCTGAAGGAACAGCCAGAGAGGAACACCTGAACCCCATGGACTTGGACCTCCTGGGGCCCCACTGGGATTTATTTGCTGCTCTGGCTGGCAGGACACATCCTGCCTCTTCTTCCACCCATTCCCCCGTGTGGCTGAAGACATTAAACAGTGGGGTGGGACCATAATAGCTGCCCCGTGGTGCCTGGAGTACAGCCCTGGGAGGTGAGTGTTTCTCTCCTCACTTAAGACTGTTCAAAGCTGAGTTACTTATCTGAGGACTTACCCCTCAGAAGTGGTCTGACTCCAGAGACCCCAGCTAGTACTCTCTACAGAGAAGGGGCTCTCCAAGGGGCTGTTGGGGCATGTGTGCCTGTGGCAGAAAAGAGGGTCCTGGAATTAAGCACCCCAGGTGCCATTCCCAGCATTTAGTTTTCAGAAGCCTCAGTTTCTCCATCAGTATGAGAGATTCTTGTCTTTACTGACAAGAATGGAATGAAAGTATAAAAGTACTCAGAAAAGCATTTGCCCTGTAACATCTAGAAAGAAAATACCCGGAGAGCCCAGAATCTGCTGTTGCCTTTGCCGCATATGTGTGAATTCTGCAACTAGCCAAGGCTATTCCCTTTCAATTCCACTTAGAAACCAGCAAGCATGGTGGCTCATGGCGGTATGGGCCTGCCCAACACTTGGGAAGGCAGGATGGGCAGATTGCATGAGCCCGGGAGTTCAAGACCAGCCTTGGCAACATAGTGAGACCCCACTTCTACAAAAAAAATAAAATTAGTTGGGTGTGGTGGCACACCCCTGTAGTCTCAGCTACTCAGGAGGCTGAGGTGGGAGGATCCCTTGAGCCCTGGAGGTTGAGGCTGCAGTGAACTGTGATTGCATCACTGCACTCTGGCCTTGGAGACAGTGAGAGAGACTGTCTGAAAACAAAAAACAGCAACCAAAAAAAAAAAAAAAATCACTTTAGCTTTTTTTCTTGGAATCTTTTTCTAAAATGTATTCTTTGTGGCATTCTGAAATAAGATTCACGATGATCTTAGGGACACTACCTCGCCTGCCAGTATCTCTGGGCTGTGCCCTTCAAGGACATGTCCCCAGATTTCTGTGCAGGGTCATGTTTTGTGCTTGGCTTTTGTGGTGGCCTCTTCCCTCTTGCTAGGCCATCAACCTCTCGTAACCATTTGTTGGTGTCAGAACTTATTCCTTCTGGTCTGGAGAGGGACTGACAGATGCCTTTGGGTAGAGAGAATTAGGAAAGAAATTTTGATATTTTTCTACTTTATATTTTCTGATTTTTCTGTAATGAGCATATTTCACTTTTCTCCTGCCTCGGCCTCCTGAGTAGCTGGGACTACAGGCACGCGCCACCATGCCCAGCTAATTTTTTGTAGTTTTAGTAGAGACGGGGTTTCACCATGTTGACCAGGATGGTCTTGATCTCTTGACCTCGTGATCCACCCGCCTCGGCCTCCCAAAGTGCTGGGATTACAGGCTTGAGCCACCGCGCCCGGCCTGCATATTTCACTTTTTTAACAAGAAAAAAAAAAAAAAAAACAAAAAAAACCTTGGCTAGGTGCAGTGGCTCACACCTGTAATCCCAGCACTTTGGGAGGTCGAGGTGGGAGGATCACTTGAGGTCAGGAGTTTGAGATCAGCTTGGACAACATGGTGAAACCCCATCTACTAAAAATAAAAAAATTAGCCGGGCATGGTGGTGCGCACCTGTAGTCCCAGCTACTCAGGAGGCTGAGGCAGGAGAATTGCTTGAGCCCACGAGGCAGAGGTTGCAGTGAGCCAAGATGCAGTGAGCCACTGCTTCAGCCTGGTCAACTGAGCCAGACTCTGTCTCAAGAATAAACAAAAAACCTTGACAAAAACTTGCGACCATCCTTGTGTACCTATCCTGATCCTCGACTGCTCCTTGAGAAACGGGCATTTCCACGTCTGCCTAACTGGCTGTGACCCAACACGCTGGGCAGAACTGCAGTGGGCTGGTGCTCAGGAGGTGCTGGGTTCAGCTTTGCTACTGGATTCAGAGTTGCTTGTCAGAGGCTGACCAAGAACCGGGGAGAGGAGGTATGTAGGAGGCTGCTGGGGCCCTGGGGAGGCATCCAGACATGCCGTCACCACGGGCTCAATCAAGCCGATTCTAAGACCAGTAGTCCGAGGATCGTTTTTAGACCTCCTGTCCCGCCTGGGCTCCCCTCACCTTCTTCCAAGGGGCTGGAGCATCCAGCAGCAGCAGGCGCCCCCTGCTGGCCATCGGGGCCAGAGCGTGAGGTCAGCCTCGAGTCTGGGGCGGACCTTACCCGCCCCTGAGGCCTCAGCCCGCAATCCCAGCCGCACCCTGAGCTGCGCCGTCCTCAGGAAGTCCCCGAGCCCGGCCTGCCGGAGCTGGGTGAGGATGGCTCGCTGGAAACCAATGCGCGCTGCTAACTGCAAAGAGGCCTCTAGGACCCTGCGGGAGAGGGAGGAGTCTGCAGCCTGGGCCATCAGGGCCGGGTCTCTGGGAACCTCTGCAGGAAGCCCTCCCCGTGCCCTGCGGGAGGAGGCCCTCCAGGCCAAGCCCCGAGCCGGGGCCCACCCACCTTCCACTCCCTCTTCTGGAGGAAGAATCTGGGTAAACAGGATGGAGAACAGCCTGGAAGGAGGAAATCCCAAGCAATGACAAGCATCATCCTGTTTAGGGGCAGAGAGGGGACAGTCCTGCCAGTGCTGCTTTGCAGCCCCTTCCCTGGCAAGAGCGCATTTATGGCTGGCTGTGCTGATGACTGCAAGGCAGGATCATTAGAGACTGCCCCAAGGAGGGGACACACAGGAAGTAGTGGTGCCAGGATGTGACCCAGGACTAGATGGCCAGGACAGCCCCTGTCACCCCCAACCACCCTCTTGAGCCTCAGCCCTGCCACCCAGGCACAAATTACGCTCTATCCCTGCAAAAAACAGGCTGGAGGCCTGAGCTGGAAGCACAGAGTGGGGCTGCCCTTAGACCATGGGCACTCACCAGGCTCCCGGCTTCCAGGAAGCATGGGCTCGGCTGACCTGGCCCCGACAGGACTCGGGCACCCACAGAGTCCAGCACCAGGTCGCCTGGGCCCGAGCGCTCCTTCCTGCCTGCTGCTGGGCCTCATGGTGCATGCCCAGGCCACTGGCATTGCTGCGAAGGCTTGTGACGCCTGGCCCTTCTTCACCTGCCCGTATTCCTGGCCTTGCTGCAAGCAGTTTCTTCAATGGGCAAGGGAATCCTGTGCCCCATGTTGCTCCTGTGCCTTGTGCTGCTCCTGTGCCCCGGCTACAGCTGCCTGGGCTTCCCACCATTTGGCAAACGCGGCCCCCAGGGCTCTTCTGCTCAGGCCAATCTGGAAGGCTTGATGCTGGGCCCTGAGCACCCCCGTGTCTCTTATAGCTTCACACCAGGCCTGGAAGTAGCTGCAAAAACAGACACATGGGGCCGAGCACAGTGGCTAACACCTGTAATCACAGCACTCTGGGAGGCCAAGGCAAGTGGATCACCTGAGGTCAGGAGTTCGAGACCAGCCTGACCAGCATGGTGAAACCCCATCTCTACTAAAAATACAAAAATTAGCCAGGCGTGGTGGTGGGCACCTGTAATCCCAGCTACTTGGGAGGCTGGGCAGGAGAATTACTTGAACCCAGGAGACAGAGGTTGCAGTGAGCCAAGATCATGCCACTGCACTCCAGCCTGGGCGACCAGAGTGAAACTCCATCGCAAAAAACAAACAAGCAGACAAAAAAAACAGATGTATGGGAGGGCTTGTCTGGCTTTCAGAGTCAAGAGTCACATTTATTCAAATTTACGCCTGCAAATCTCCCGCAAAGCAGTCAATGGCCAGTAACAGGGCAAAGTACCGGCTTTCCATCTTAGAACCTCAGCCTCAGAGCACAGGGGCTGCCCTGCGAGGGCATGGGAGCCAGCAGCATGGGTTCAAGTCCCACACCAGCCATGCCCTGCCTCCCCTCACACGCCCAGGTGGTTGGTGAGGAGGAAGAACTCAATCTCCCATTCACTAAGAAGCCAAGAAAAAAACCATCTACACCTCAGGTGCAAAAGCACAGACGTCAGCCGTTCTGTAGGCAACAGTTCACTGCCCCTATGGGGATACTGGACATTCGCAAATTTGTACTGAACTGCGGGAGGAGCCATTCCGTGTCCCTCTGCTTGGTTTTACAGCATGCATTCAGGAACCGTGCACGTGTTCCACCAGAACATCTTTAGTTAAGTGAAGATTTCACTCTCTTCTCTTTGAGGTGGTGTACAGCTGAGTTCCCCTTGCTGTAACTCCTCACAACGGGGGTTATGCTTCCTGCCACCAGGGGACACACACTTGGCAGGGAGATGGGCATTCACTTGGGTTCCAGCCATCCCTGTCGAGCTCTGTGTCTGTGTCCCAGGCAGCCCCATGGCCCCTGCGGCCCTCTGCTCAATTCAGTGTCCCTAGGCTACCCACCTCCCAGGGCCTGGCATTGGCTGGACACCACAGTGTGCCAGGTCCCGTGTAAGGCCCCAGGGAGGAGTGGGATGCAGCTCGTGGCATATGGGACATTCCTCCATGTTCCTCCCAGTGCTGAGCACTGCTCACGTGCCCGCCCCATAGCCCCCAGGCCCAACCCAGGTCACAAGCTTGGGGACACTTACTTGGCCCACTGACACTGGAAAAGCCACCTCTTCCACAGCAGCCACACCCGGCGGAGGGCCAGTGTCCGGCAGGCATCCTGCAGGGAGCCCTGGGCCTGCTCCTGCAGCCCCTGGGCCTGGCCCACTGAACCCAGGCCACTGGCTTCGGGACCTGTGCCATAGAGAGCCTCGCATCCTGAGAAACGGTCAAGAGGCCAGTCAGCTGCCTCCCCACTGACCTCACTCTACCCACAGCCATTGATAGCTGCTACCTCGAGCCCTTTTTGGGACCTCTCCCCTCTTGTCCCCTTCCACCACCTCCAAGCCCTCCCCTCCAGGTCACCTCAAAGATCCCATCTTCCCTAGTTATGTTTTGTTTGTGTGTGTGTGTGTGTGTGTGTGTGTGTGAGAGAGAGAGAGAGAGAGAGACAGAGAGAGAGAGAGAGAGAGACAGACAGACAGAGTTTTGCTCTTGTCACCCAGGCTGGAGTGCAATGGTGTGATCTTGGCTCACTGCAACCTCCGCCTCCCGGTTTCAAGCAATTTTCCTGCCTCAGCCTCCCGAGTAGCTGGGATTACAGGTATGCACCACCATGCCCGACTAATTTTTGTATTTTTAGGAAAGACAGGTTTTCACCATGTTGGCCAGGCTGGTCTTGAACTCCTGACCTCAGGTGATCCTCCCTCCTCAGCTTCCCAAAGTGCTGGGATTAGGGGCATGAGCCACCACACCTGGCCCCCACCAGGTTTTGGGGTGGGAGTTAGGGCTGTGTGTCCCCCATCAGACCAGGAGCTTCCCAAGAGCAGAGCCCACAATCCCTTTGGGGCAGGATCTGGGGTAGCCAGCACTGGGAGCCTGCAGTGTGAGGTGCAGAACCAAGTCTCACCCAGAGCAGCCCGAGATGGGACATAGGAATGTGGCCCAGTCGGGGTCTGCCCACTCTGGGACCCCTCCCGCACCCTCCCAGGCCTATAGTCTGCCCTCCTAGAACGCCCCCAGTTCTACCACCTCCCACAAGAATCCACACATTCAACTGGGGCCCACTGAAGAAGGGGCTTAAGTGACACGGTTTGCTGGGGTGGAAGCCAACACTAGCTCACCTGCTTTCTGCCGGCAGAGGGACAGCTGGGTTACCTTTGCCCGATCTGAGGCCCGGAGCTGCTTCATCCGCACCCACTGTTCCAGGCACGTTCTCAGGGTCCCGGCCCGGCGGTCAGCCAGGTGGTCTCGGTACCGGGACCCTCTTTGCGCAAACCGCTGCCAGGCCCCAAAGCACCTGGGAGAGCAGAGGGAAAGTACCCGCGCCAATTGCAAGGACTGATGACTGCGGCTGCCGCTGCCTGCCATTGCCAGGCACGCTACCCAGGCCTTGGCAAGCCGCTCCATGTCTCCGAGCCTCCATGGTTTTGTTGTTGTTGTTGTTATTGTTTGTAGTCGGAGTTTTGCTCTTGTCGCCCGACAGCAATACATGGACTTTACGGCAAACTCTAACACAATATATACTTGCAAAATAATTGGAAATGTGAATATCTGTGAATACTGGCCAGATATTCGTGAGTGTTAAGGAATAGTTGTTCTCTGTGTGTGTGTGTGTGTGTGTGTGTGTGTGTCTGTGTGTGTGTGT